GCACTCTTAATTCTATAGTAAAAAACTTTGTGGCACGCTTCTAGTATAATAGCATAACCTTAAGACATATACGTACCTACTAGTAGCATAAATATCAAAGATAATTTTTCTATCCATAATCCATTTTTTACATCTTCACCCATAAACTTGCTCAAAGGCTTTTTTTGACATTTGGAAAAGATAATTGCATCACAGGGAACGAATAGGCTACCTTTTATCTCCGCCCTCACCATACAAGTGAAGCAATGGTAAAAACTAGTTTGTTCTAATAATAAAAATATGTTTATTTAAACGTAGCAATGAAATAATCGATCTATGTGACTTTTTCTTCTCCATATTAGTCAGATCACTCTTATTTTCATCGCCATTCCTGTGAGATCTTTGTTTATTATACGTATATAGTATGTTGTTATTAAAAGGAGCACGCTGTATATGAGTTAAGCGAGGGCCTACCTAGAGCCAAACCTATCCGCACATTATGCAAATTAAAGTAACGCCATTTAAATATTTTTATGTAGATGTAAGTAATGTGACCATATTTAATTACTTCATATATATCAATAAAAAGAACCTAGGCGATCTAGCTTTGCTCGGCTTTTTTCGGTATAGATATAAAAATTGCATTTTTTTTACATAAGACACCAGCATATATATACCTATAGAATTAGATACACTTAAAAAGCAAAACTTTGGCTAAATACAAGCCGTTAGAGCTTTTTCCGAGATACACAAAATAAATTGCTCATTTAATCGGGGGGCACGGCAGTGCCCCCGCCAAGTCGAGCAAAAAAAAAGGGCACGGCAGTACCATCCTTTTCTCGAAGCGATTCAGAGCATTTTCCACCCCCCCATAACTTCGTTATGGATAAAGCTAGAAGCCTGAATTTTGAGTGACTAAGAGAACATCATAAAACTAGGTATATTTCCAAATTACATTCAATTTGAACCTGTAGTTTATGAACTGTTGCAGATCAAAATTCGTCAATATCGTCACTCACTCACTCACTCACCGATCATCAAAATTCTAAGGTACTTCTAGCAGACATAGAAGCTTCAAATTTTGAACACAATTAGTGTTTAGCCTATAACAGAAGGAAAAACTCAAACATCACGCAATTTCAATCCTGTTTTCGAGATATACAAACTGCATAAGTAATTTTGTAATCCTATACAAATAGATATGCGATATATGGGATTACAAAGTTATTTTTGCAGTTCATACATATAATTTTTCGTCACTTAAACTACCCAAATAGCTGGGTAAATAGTGGATATACTGTAAGTGTTAGCAATGACTAAAATGTAATTATCAATATTGTAAATAGTTTTAGAATTAATATATAAATTAAAACATATGTATTTATGATCTTAATTATAAAAAAATATATACAAGTAATCCAACACTCGTGTGTTTCCGTAGCGAGAGTCGCTCTGTATGTTATCACCTCGGGGCAATACCGTAGCGAGAGCCGCTCTCAGTTGCTACAAGATCTCAAATATAAAAAAAAATATGAGTAATCGAAGACTCGGGTGTTTTCGTAATGAGAATCGCTCGGTATGTTATCACCTCGGGGCAAGACCGTAGCGAGAGCCACTCTCGGTTGCTACAAGATTTCAAATATAAAAAAATATATATAAGTAATCGAAGACTCGGGTGTTTTCGTAATGAGAATCGCTCGGTATGTTATCACCTCGGGGCAAGACCGTAGCGAGAGCCGCTCTCGGTTGCTACAAGGTCTCAAATATAAAAAAATATATATAAGTAATCGAAGACTCGGGTGTTTTCGTAATGAGAATCGCTCGGTATGTTATCACCTCGGGGCAAGACCGTAGCGAGAGCCGCTCTCGGTTGCTACAAGATCTCAAATATAAAAAAATATATATAAGTAATCGAAGACTCGGGTGTTTTCGTAATGAGAATCGCTCGGTATGTTATCACCTCGGGGCAAGACCGTAGCGAGAGCCGCTCTCGGTTGCTACAAGATCTCCAATATAAAAAAATATATATAAGACTGTAATCGAAGACTCGGGTGTTTTCGTAATGAGAATCGCTTTGTATGTTATCACCTCGGGGCAATACCGTAGCGAAAGCCGCTATCAGTTGTGTGTATAATCTCAATTTAAAAAAATATATATATGCGCAAACACCAGCAAAAGCAGTCATGTGTAGCCTCCCGGGAGTCCCTGATGTCCAGGAGCTACACCAACCGGTCTCTACGTTCAAATCGTTCTACGACAGAATAGAGGCCATTCCATCGGCATTAACCTCACAACTAATCAATGGTTAGTTTAGGTAGGATCAAACCCAGATCGATTACCCTTATCGACCAAATCATACATAGAAGTAAGAGAATTCGTTGTAAAATAAAAACCAGCACGAACACTTGCAAAAAATATTCGTATCGTCATCGAGAATATTTTGTATAGGATAAATATAACTATTAAATAAATTATCTAAGACCAAATTTAGCCATTTAGCACTATGCATGTAATATGTATACGACGTGGTATATCTTTTGTATACCTATCTATATTAGGTTTATTGCATAAAAATCTTATATGATGATATGTAATTCAAGATTAGGATGCATTATTACTCAGGGGTTCAATCAAAACGCTATTATTATTCCTACGCTAATTTTTTTTTAAATATCTCCTTGTAGATTATGACGTAAAATTATATTACATAATTAATGTCCATAATAAATATTGTTGTGGTAGTACAGAGCCCTCGGAGCGTTAGTTCGACTTCTACTGGACTAATACATAGGTACAATATTTATTTATCAATATTTAGTTTAGTCATGTTAAAAAAACACACGAATAACTCATATAATATTTTATTAACTTAAATATCCAACTAAAAAAAATTATCTTTCTCAGGGTACCGTTTGCCATCACTAAGTATTTAATTTGTTAGTCAATTCCTCCACTTTAACGACATCAAGGAACGCTAGAAGGTTTAGGTATTTTTTAAAATAATAGGTCACAATAAAATAGCACATAATATAAATATTTTGACATAAATAAACTTCATCGTAGCTTGCTTTAATTTGTGTCGTTAATGTCAAATATAAATTTCGTTTAAAAATCATAAAATATTTTAATTAAATTTACACTATTTTTTCCTTCCATTATTTAAATTAAATATTATATTTTTCATTTCCTGATATCTTACTTTTATTTTTTTCACCTCATTCATATATTCTAATAAAATTTATAATTAATAGTAAATTAATTAATTATACAATAGTTGCACTGTAAAAGGAGGTTAGGTTAGTGTTTGTAAACCTTGTAACCTATAGTTATGTATGTTTGTATGTCCGATCCTATGTTCCCTCGTAATCACTAACCTAATTTCGATTCGTCGATTTATTAATGTTTATATTTGCAACTATATGTATTAGCAAAGTATTTTTTAAATGCGAAAATAATATTTTAAGCTTTTTTAGTAGCTTTACAATTTTTATGCATATACACATGGGTACATAAATGTAATGTGAAGCGTGTGTAGTTTATACCTACTAATATTCGATTACTGTTATTTATAATGAATTGATTAAAATATATATCTAATTAAGAAACAACTTGACGATTACTTAATTTTGAAACCAAGCTCGTATATTTTCTTTTACAAAGTATGATGTTGATATGAATTAGAAAACCTTGTCAACATCTCATTGCTCGTAACTGTACCCACCTAATAGAATATGGAATATAGAGGTCATAAAATATCAATCTCATCGAAAATTTTTTTTATAATGGAATAGAAGACAAATTTCGGGATTTAACTACGATGCTGCAGATAGACACATAAATCTACACGTCTTATTAAACTTATGTAAGTTGAATATCAGTATCGGGGTAGGTATTTAGAGTCAACAATGAAATTAAAATATTCGTTAAACTAACTATACATATTTATACTTAATGCATAAGATAGTAGTATTAAAGTCCAGGAATCCGCAATTTCCCAATACAATAGACTTAGATTTTTTTTCATCCAGACTTGTCAAAATTTGTTATATCAAAGCCTCTGAAAAAAGCCCACAGAGACAAGGAGTGGGCTTTTAAAAAGTCCTTAGCTGACACACAAGAAATAGTACAAGAAAAGAGAAAAAGAAGAAATATTTACAAAAAGAAATGAGATCCCATCAAAAACATACTGTAAAAAATTGCAAGTCTCGCAATGCATTACTTCTACCGCAAAAAGCTATGAGATATAATGTAAAACCAAGTCGGTTAATTTATTCATTACCTACCTATGGAAGCATCTATCCGACAACTTTGTCATAAATCGTTACCGAATTAGTTAAGTTACAACATTTTATAGTGACCGTATTAATATTAGATATATTTATTTCTTTAATTAATAGAATGACTTGGCCATCGCACATGATAATAGAACTTACAAATAACAAAATTTACCTAATGTTAGCGTTCTGAGTGCATTATTTATGTTAGTGTATGCATAAACTTGACCCGCTAGTGCTATGTTCAGTTCATCTCAGCCCAAACACGTCCACAGCTGGACATAGGCCTCCCCCAAAAATTTTCATGACAACCAGTCTTCCAACCATCCGCATCCAGTGGGCTCCAGCGACTTCGACCAAGTCGTCCGTCCACCTTGGTCATGGTATGTTTAATTAGGACTATTTTAAGTAGTAGACTCTTATGTGATTATGTTTCCGTGCGATGGTCAAGTCATTCTATTAATTAAAGAAATAAATATATCTAATATTAATACGGTCACTATAAAATGTTGTAACTTAACTAATTCGGTAACGATTTATGACAAAGTTGTCGGATAGATGCTTCCATAGGTAGGTAATGAATAAATTAACCGACTTGGTTTTACATTATATCTCATAGCTTTTTGCGGTAGAAGTAATGCATTGCGAGACTTGCAATTTTTTACAGTATGTTTTTGATGGGATATTATATGATAATGCTTAATAGTTTAAAATTACAAATTTATATTTCACCCCGAAGCAATCAGAATGATTGAGATTAAACAGGTAAAATAGTCAAAGTTTGCGGTCCGGCTCGTAGCGCGTGGAGAGCGCTCTCACGGCTTGCGGCCGCTAATCAAATTAATACGGGATACTACGGATAAAAGTTTATGGAACTGGCTTATTATTTATTATTTACAGTACTTACAGAACTCTGAATATATAATACAAGTGGTTGTATATTACATAACTAATTTCTTTAAGAGCTATTTTGGATTATCTTCGTACAATAAAGAAAATCGCACTAAAATTAGTCCAATCGTTCTAATGTGATGTGCTCTAAATAAATAGAAAGATAAATAGAAAAAGTTTGTTTTTTTTTTAAATTATACTAGCGACTCACATTCGCGTCGCTCGGGTTCGTCCCTAGGTACGTTTTAATTTTTGAGCGGAACCCTAATTCTTTTTCAAAAATAAAAGTAGCCTATATTACCTACTCCCTGTAACATCAGCTATCTTCTGGTGAAAGTCCCGTCAAAATCAGTCCAGCCGTTTCAGAGATTATCCGGAACAAACAGACAGACAGACAAAATTTAAAAAATGTGATTTTTTTATAAGCACCGTATATAATTTCATATGCATTTAGTAAAACGGTGTTATTTTGACATTACAATCAGACACTTTAATTTTATTTATCTGTATATTAGTTATAATTTCTGAATATTTATTAATTAAATTTAAAACATAAATTGAAAATTATTATATACGAGGTTTGGCAATGAAAACATTATATAAAACCTATATTTAGGTATATAAGTTTAGATAATAAAGTATCTATTTGAAAGAACTATAAAACAGTTTTTTTATTAAAAAGCCATTTCCACATTGGCCCAGCCATCGGATATTCAGGCGATTTCACTAGGGCGGGATATGAACGAGTGTGCAAACAAGGCCGCTCGTTTGCGCGCTTTGATTCGTCACGAGAGCCTAGAGCCAAATATACGCTTTAATTAGCCAATATAAATAATAATTTGCCAATTGATATGGCAGTGTTTGAATTAAATTAATATTTTTTAATACACGAAGGTATACATGATATGTTAGTATATGTCTAACATATATATGTATGTATGCACATACATTATACAACTATAGCAATTCGAACAAATATTATTGAAAGATTTTTCAACCCCAAAACCATCTTTCTATATTTCCAACGACCGTGACATTTAACAGCAAGTACAGCAATCCATCTATTAATAGGTAAAACAACTTGAAAACGAAGGCTATAATTGTTTCAAACGTTAGTATTTATCTTAACAATATTATCTAAACGAGAAACGGAATAATAACACAGTAAATTAATTATTCCCCACGCAGTTCGAGGGCATACCAGAGCTCCGTAAAGCAGGCCTTAAAATTTCTAAACCCAGCTAAAATGAAATCGTCTTCAGAAAAAGGGGTTTATTTTAATGCCCATCAGAAAATAAATGCTCTGGGACAATAATGTGGGATTCGTTGGTAGATATAAATTTCAAATAAAAATACTCTCCGTCGAGTTGAATGGGTTTGTAGTGTTGTGCTGTTGAGTAAAAAATTTAAGATATTTTTGATGGGAAAAGTTTTTAATAGAGAAAATAATAAAAGTTTTTTATAAGAAAATTAGTATGCCTAGATTATTTAATTAAAAAAAAAACTTATAGTCGGTAGAACGTTGTATTGATACCACCATCGAATGAAGTATTTTACATTAAACTGTATTTCTTAAGTTCTATTTGAGCTCTGAGTATTTGTCACATGAATTACTTATTGCGGTTGAAGGCCGTATCGAGCCGAAGGTTTAGATCTATTATAAAAGGTGGAGATTTTTTTCAAACACTTGTCTATCGTGATTTTTACGAGTTTGTAAGATTACATCGCGTCCGTAATGCCTCGTCTGGTACTTGAATCGCACAGATAATTTTGTTATACAATAGAGAGTATATTGTGTTCTTTTCTAGATCTATAATGTAGATATATAATGTTAATTATATGGTTCTGTAACTTCCGCATTCAGCCATATTAATTATTTTTCATGATTATGTCATAAATCAATTTGTTTTACTTTTAAAAAGTTTTTATACCGCGAAACCCTATGTTTTTCTTACTAAAACCTATCTCTGGGACACATTCAAAAATTATTACATAAGAATTAATATAGATTCTAGTTTTATAGATTAATATTTATAAGCAAGTCAGCAATTTATCTATTAATAAGTGGAATAACGGTAATAATATATATTAATAAAAACTTATATTTTAAAGAAATATAAAATTAATAGTATGTTATAGTTACATCACTAGAACAAGCGACCGCCAACGAAAGAGTTGCGAGCAGCATAAACGTTAAGACTGGATGAACAAATAAATGAACCAGCCGATCGATACGAAATTTCTTAATGCTAAGAAAAGCGCCCGACATTGTTACTGTGCTTTTGTCTTTTAAGACTATGAAGAAAATGTTATATTTATTTTTGCTATCAATTTTCATTTTTCTTTTCTGTTTTATTAAATACAGTTGTTAAATAAATGCGAGTATGTATGTACGTTGACAATATATTCAGTAGGTACATAAATAAATAAGTACATACAGAATTGTGGTGGCTTTGTTGCAGGCACCAGTAATGTATTTTGAAATATACCTAAGGATGAAAGAATATTATTTAGATTTCATTTTTATTAACAGTTTTATTTAATTTGATGAATATTGAATATAATCTGTGTCCCTAGTATAAATATTTTTAAAATAAATAAAGTAAACGTATCGAAAGGACTTAGACATAAATTACTATTATAGTAGGTAGGTAGGTACCTATCTTATTTGTTGTAACCACAGTAACTTGTTTTAAATTATCACGTCGTATGCATAAGATGATGGAATTATGCTTCGTGGGCTTGTTTCCAATAACTTACAAAAAACCTTCTCGATCCACCTGAATGGTATACAGAATATACCTACTAACAAATCTCGAATTGCTTTATAAGTACAACTCGGGTGCAATTTATCGTATGTTGATAGAATAACTCTTAGGTCAGAAACTTCAAGAAGTACCTACTTACTTACTTTTTAGTGTAAAAGTTCTAAAAAGTACATATTTTAGGTAAATAAACGTTAATATTTAACACGTTTTTATTAGTTTTCTTGTAACTATCAACTGTGAACTCTAATTAATAAAGTCGATTTCACCCACTTCTATGTATGTATATATGTCGTTCCCATTTAAAGCTTTGTATTATGTATATACGTCATATACATATGTGGAATCCGGTTGACAATACAATAACCTTACACCATCACATCTGACTGATCTGATCTGATTATGGAATTAAGAGGTGGATAGTAAGACTCTTCAAAGGCTAATTTAAATTATTATTTTATGTTATTTATTATATTTATATGTAATAACTATATTTATTTTTATAGCGATATATAGATTTCAGGACTTAGTTTCTATACCTTTACACACAATTTTTTTTTTAAATACAGGTAAATGTAGATTTATCCATAATTTTAATAGTAATTATTATTTGCAACGACCCTCATAGTATCTACTCAATACTCATCTAAATTTCCAAACGAAAAAACAATTTAATTCGAACCAAACAACGTTTCTGTTGACACAGCTAAGTAACCACGCGACGCCTCGATTCATTTACATTTCTCTTAATCTTCGTTATGAATAAAGAAAAATTTGAGGAGATGTTTTAAGCTTTCTTCTAAGCGGCCGCCTAATGAAGAGCGGCGAGGGATTACCGCCCGCCCGCGCACTTTCGCGACATTACACTTTTAATTTGAACGAATCTTATTATTTTCTTTTGTTGATTTAAGCCCTCGTGCCAGGAGACGGGTCGAGACGTGACCTGCAGCGGAAAAATGCGATTGCCATCTAAAGCCAACCGTTTAAATGAACGAGATTGGAGCTTAAAAAGTATAATGGACGAGGGGGAGGGGGCGGCGATCCCGGGGGCGCAAGATGGCCGATTTGCGATTGAGATGAGTCCACCCCGCCACCTCGAAGATCAACTGATATAATTAAGTTCACTTATACTTCCTATTTACATATGAACCTATATTATATACCTACTAATATTATTAATACGAAGATACTATATAGAGCGAAGTACAATAATATATGAGAAGATACAAGAGAACAAAAATATACATATAATATATGAGAAATCAAATTAGCTAAAGTTTGATAGTTAAATCCACATAGGTATAGTAAGTAGTAATTTAAATTCAACAGTCATTTTTGGTTTTTATGATTTAAATTGTCTAAGAAAAGGGCGCAATATCGTTGAATTAACTAGAACATCTTTTTATTCATGAACCCATCTAGGTACATCTAGGCCTTCATACTTATACATATAAATCATACGTTTTAAGTGATGATCGATGATTAATTGAAGCTTATTTATTTGAAAAGCTCACATTGAATTAATTGGTGAAAAAATAAATCCCTTTCCGCTTTTGTAACCTAAAATGATTAAACACACTCTGTGTTTGATTTTTTCACACAACGTCCTCATAAGATAAACTTTTTAAATATATAAGTTTTCGTATGTTATTATATATGTAAAAAACGTGCGACCTCGTTTATATTCATTTAAAAAAAGGTTAATTCATTCAGTTAAGGTTATTCGAACCACCTTTCATCAACCACATTTTTGTAACATAAGTACTACCTATGTACTTTCTAAGGATATCATCATACAAATTTATATTTGCTGTCTTGTGGGGGATTCGTTAAATCGAGATGTGCGGTACCCTTAATGTTACCTCAAATATAAAGAACCATGAAAAATTACATAATAAAAAAATAAATTCCCTTATTAAGTAGGTACCTACGAGTATAGCAACATATAAGCATTCTTACATTTATGGCATTCATTCGAAATATATATATATATATATATATATATATATTTATATATATGTAAAATATACATAATATTCATGTGTTCATTTATAATCCATTACTCTACATTACTAACTTTGCCTGTGGTTTCGTCCGTGTATTTAATTTAAAGGTAACAAGCGCCTTACTCTAGCTTCGCTCAGGTTCATCCCTAGGTTTAGTAACGCTTATAGGATAAACGTATTAAGAAATATTCTTTTTTTTTTATTCAGAAATATTTGAAAGTACGCTGAACAATTTATCAAAGTTTTATCACAATCGGATACATATTTACGGGTGCATAGACTACAGCCATAAAACAATCATTTTTACTTATATAGATTGCTTCGCTCCTAAAGATGGTAGCGCGAATGTGGAATTTTACTCGATAGTGAGGCTATAAAATGCAATAATAATTTCCAATCATTATCAAAAAAAAACTTTCACATAGCGTGTTCAAACAAGCAAACAAAATTCTTCAGCTTTATATATTACTATAGATTATTGCAATATAATTAATTATAATATATTTACAGAATAAATGTCATTTCGTTTCCAAAATTTGGTTCTGTTGGTGGTCGTAAAACGGTAGAAAAATATCAAAAAATAAATATATTTTGAAATTTATAGCATTAGTAAGGATAAGGATATCGACAGGTTTAAAACTTGTTTTTATATTTCTACATTGTAATTTTGAATTTATATTATAATTTAAATTAGTCTTATTATAGCTATACCGCAATCAAGATCAACGACGTCATAGATTTTGAACATGACCTTTATTTATAATAAATAAACTAATACCTAATTTACACCGTGAGTTATTCAAAGTTGAATTGATCACAAAATCGTGGAACGGTGCTGATCTTTCAAAAGAATCCAGTTGATCAGAGACGAAACTAAACGAAAGGTTTCCTTTGAACAGTTGTAGAATAAGGAAAAGTTAAGTAGCATCGAGGGGGGTAGACCGCAACCCCACCAGCCTTCCAAAAAATATCGCATAAATGAGCCCAAGGGTCCGCCTCCACGGCCGCGAAATTTCAGCCATACTTCCAAACCTATAATCCCTTATAATCACCTTTACAAAGCAAAGATTAAAAACGATTTTCGCCCCAGCCTCCCACCTCCACTCTACTTTTATATGCGAGACAGCAAAAGTAAGATTAAATCATTATTTTTCTTAAGCTCCTCTCGTTTTTTCTTCGCTCTAGTGGAAGTTTTTTCCTTGGACTTTTGATGCGGACGATCAAAGACTTGTGTTCAAATTTACATAACATTCTTAAATAAATTGCGGGGGGGTTAGGGTGGCGCAATTTAACACGATACGCCCGGTGTATAAACTTATTAATGCGAATACCGCGATTGATGCTTAATGTACTATTAATTTATTCTGAGGATTACTCGAATGTCAGCGCATAATTTCCGATTTAAAACACCACACAATTCACGCTTATTAACATTTTTAATAGCAAATTTTGTGAGCTTAAGATAACTATTATTATTAAGATATATATTAATTCACTGTTAGTTATACACCTATTTACTCATTATTTATAATCTTTAGAACAAAGCGATATTAATTTGTCGATATCTTAATTGAATATTTTAAATAACCTGTAAACATTCAGAGAAACTTGGTTCATGCTAATGCCTAGATAATGAAGAGTCCATTCATTAATTTAAGTAGATAATGTCTCTGTAACAAATTGCTAATGAGCTATAGATTTTAAATATAAATGAAAGTATTATAAGTAATTAGCTTAAGCATAATTTTGCTTTTCTCGTTGTTTTATGGTAAAGTCAACATCAATATCTCAATCAATCAATAATCCAATATCAATAGTGATGTAGAAAGCTAAAATCGAATTAATATTGTAAGCGTGAAAGTTTGTATGTTTGTTACGCCGAAACGGTGGCTGAATTTATAGGCACAATTTATACATAGTGTAAAAGTCGCTACCGCTGTTTGTACGCTTAGATCTTTTAAACTACGTAACGGATTTTAATGCAGTTTTCTATAATAGATAGAGTGATTAAAGAGGAAGGTTTATATGTATAATACATACATATTATAGTACAGAAAAGCCGAGAAATTCAAAGATTTGTATTGTACGCTTACATTGCCTATGAGTCGCTAGTGATTGTATAAAAACGCTACATTTCACAAATTATTATAATACCTTAGTTATACCTACTTTACATGTTTATTTATACCACTAACTTATCTTACTTAAGCTAAACTTAGTATTTAGTTAAACCTAAGCCCCTAAGTTGTTTGCACCTCAAGTGGCTGTTTGATTGTTTTAGGCGCAGGTAGTAAAGCCCACATGAAATATATCGTTACTTACTGTTTAAGCCAAGTTTACATTCTCAGCTTAAGTTTTACAACTTATACCATGTGGACTACGAAATATTTATGTATGTTGGCGCAGATTGCGCCAGGTTAAATTTTAAGGATTTTAAGGTTTCCGACTTTTTTGAAATTATATGAAGTAACATATTTCTTCGGTTCTATATTTCGGTTCTACTTTACTGAATTCATAGGGGGAGATGCTCAATTCGTATGTATTAGGGGGTTTTGTGCGGGTTGTGTGGTTTTTTAGGGTGTTGTCACAATTTTTGTGGGTATTTTAAATAGACCTATCTTTTCAACATTACAGCGATTATAGTCACGGGAGAGACTAAGATTTTAGACATCTCAAAAGTTATTATAAGTGTAGTTCTAACAGACGGCATTTACCCACAAAATATTACATTTATTTGGAAGAAAAGAAAATTGCCATCGAAGTACCTTACAATTTAAAAAAAAAATGTGGTTATGGACGCTATGCACGTGACGTCTTCGTCAACTTTTTAACTAATAGGTATTCACGTTAACTGAAAGAATGGAATAATTAATCCCTCAACAATCGCGGACACGCCGGCGTTACAGTTAACAATAGATTTGTTAGAATTTCTTTTTTCTTATTTCTTATAATTTAATACATTTTATGCTTCTATAAATAAGTAATCAATTATTAATTAATTCTAAAATTTCCTCTGTTAAAAGTGATAGAAATCTGCATCTTTAAGCAATGTAAAGAAGATACGGCTAGCACATTGCCAAGCGCAGCATAGCGTATTGATTTACGCGGACGACACCGACGAAATAATAAAACGAAACCGTCTCGCATAAAACTTACCCCATATCATTCCCAGTGGAGTTTTAATTTACAAAGTTATAGAACCACGTCGATTGCCAATAAGTAAACACTGAAAGTCGGAGTATTTAACTTAATTTTTGAGCTTCCAGCCGGGGTTAATTGGGAGAGGCGTAGCGGAATGTCGTCACAAAAGAAGCACTTAAATGAAACGCACAACGGCACTCGACCGGCTCAAAATAAACTTATCTCCGTCGGGCAAGGGTTAAAATGATTTGAAAGGAGCGCTCAGTAATTCAGGTGGGCGCCACGAGGGTTGATAGATGATTCAATCAGGCGCTACTGTTCCGCTAATAATGTTACTTATTGAGTTTTTGAACGCCGGATGCTCGCATGTTTCGCGAGGAGGCAGCTGTCAACGCACAGCGATCTATCTACTTGGTAGGCTTACTTACTAGGTACTAATATAGGACGTGAAGAAGTAATTTTGCTCACAATAGCAATATGGCATGGTTCTTTTGCCGTTTTTGTCTGTCGCGTGCGTAAACTAGCGTTTTAGAGGTTTTTACAACATTAACACTAATAACTATATGAGCGTGATTAGTTTGTTATAGGTACATACATATATACATGTACACAATGTATGTCTGTGTGTGCTTCGCGTAAATAACTTATTTATTTATTTATTGAATTATCCGTATTACTCCCTCCACGACCGCGGACACGCCGGCGTGTCATTTAACAATAAATTTCTTAGAATTTTAATTAATTTCTTAGATATTTACATGAAGACGTTAATCCGTTCTCCATCGACCTGGCCATTCTTAGCTGTGACTGCAAATTTTTCGATTTATGTATTAGTAGGTAAATATGTAATTTTACTGGCGAGATCAAAAAGCGGGCTCGTCCGGGATTTGAACCCGGGACCTCTCGCACCCAAAGCGAGAATCATACCCCTAGACCAACGAGCCGACTGACGATCAGAACATAAT